CTTATGTTCTCAATAGAGTGCAAGACAGAGCCAGCACTGCTGACCAGCTTGTTCCTCTCTCAGCTACTGCATCCCCAGCAGGCCCCTGCACACAATATTGCAGATACTACCACTGTGTCATAAAATTTCTTAAGTGTCCTGCACAAAATAAAGGACCTCAGTCTTCTCAGCAGATGGAGACAACTTTGGCCCTTCTTGTACAGGGCATCTGTATTATGACCTTGCTAAGTTGAGTTTTCTCAAACCACTGAGGAAGTTCGTCGCCTCAATTGCTTGAATTTGTTTTATTGAATACATTGAAGGATTTAAGCCAATTAAACTTAGCTTAAGTTGTTATAACATCTTTGCTAGTGGAATGAAATTAAATGAAAATGGGTGCAGGCCTCATTGCTTATAGACCACAGCTGGGGATAGAAGAACATATTAAATAATGTTTTGCAATTAATATTCAGATTGCACTGCGTAATACTTATAAAGTCACTGTGATCAAGAATGTTATGCCAGAGATACTAGTTTCTACCACATTTTATTAGTTATTTTCTAGGTTGGACTTAACTGGTGTATGTCAATCAGTTATTTGCCTTTAGTGCTGGTGTGTAATTCCTAAGCAGTCCTGAAGTATATCAGGGTTGATATGAGCACTTATCAGTATATTCTTGCGGCTGAAGCTGACTGGAGGAAGAGGACACCTATATTAATAGGGAAGGATGGTACTTTATTTCAGTCATGGCACCTGAAATCTCAAAACCTCCCCTATGGGAGCCTTAGTGGTTCACCTATGCAGCTCCAAGGGTCCAGCACACAACAGCAAATCCCACCCAGATCCATTCCTCTAGCTGTATGAAATGGGAGATTACAGGGTTTGGCGAGAATTATAGTGCCAGTAAGACTATACATACAGACAAGACCTCAAAACTTTCACTTATATTGACCAGTTTAATTGTCCAAAAATGTATGCTACAACACATGCCGTAAGCAAGAAATATGAGAAATCTTTTCTATCACATCCATTCTTACAAAAGTTGGACAACACCAC